CCTTTCATTACCTACATGTTTTTACCCGTCATTACCTACAGGTTTTTTTCCTTTCATTACCTATATGTTTTTATCCGTCATTACCTACAGGTTTTTTCCTTTCATTACCTACAGGTTTTTTTCCTTTCATTACCTATATGTTTTTATCCGTCATTACCTACATGTTTTTACCCGTCATTTCTTCTTGGACTGAGTTACGCCTGTTGTTTCATCCCAGCCCCCACACTGACCCTGGTGAGCAGCTGACAACGGACTCACAAGGACCCGGGTGTTCACCTGAACTGGACTCACAGGACGACCTGCTGAGAGGACTCGGGTCTTTTGGAGCAGCTTCTCTGATTGGAAGAGATTAGAGAAGTTCATGAGGAAGGCAGCTCTGACCTAGGATGTCCCTGGACCCGGAGCAGGGAGACACAGGAACTCCATGGACAATGTGTCCCACACCTGGAGACCTCCTTCAGGGACAGACTGCTGCAGCCAGGAGCTCCTTCCTCCCACCAGCTCGTGTTTACATCCCTGCCGTCACGTGCACAACTTAGATTTCAGGGTGTTTTCGCTTTCTGTCACGTGCACACACGCACATGTTGGACACTCTTTACATGGTCCTATCTAAATGTCCCACCGAGGGACAGTAAACGTCATGAGGTGAACACATTGAGGACCGGAAGTTCTTGAGATGGACAGAAACAACAACAGCTTGTTTACAAACAATAAACAAACAACGCGGCTGGAAAACAACAGTTTATTAAAAACAAGAAAAGTCCTGAAAACTCAGGAAACGACAGGCTCCGCTACGAAGCAGTCAACAAACAAACAAACAAACAAACAAACAAACAAACAGCTGGAGTCCAAACATCACACGCACGCGCGTTCCTGTACTCTGTGACCCATCCTGGTCGCGCACGTCCCAAACATCAACACGCGCCTTAGCCGGGCGGCTAACAGTTAGCATCCGGACCGGGGTTCCGGGTCTAGCTGAAGTCTCTACAGTCCGGACCCGGGACCTGCAGCCTCCGGACCGCCTCTTTGATCAGGTTTCCGGACAGAACCAGGTCCTGCAGGAGCTGCTGCGGGTCGGCCTCCTCCGTCCGGACCCGCGTCCTGGGCCACGGTCGGATCTGGTCCCAGTCCTGGTCCTGGTCGCTGCGGGAGGAGGGCAGCCGGTACGGACTCCCCCGCTGGTTCCGCTGGTTCCGGAGCCGCAGGCAGCAGCTGTGGACTTTGTGGGCCGGGCCGGTCGGGACCGAGCCGGACTTGTGTCCTGCCGGGTGGAGCTGCAGAACCCCTTCGATCCGCGAGATCAGCGCGTCCACGTCCTTCGAGTCCACGGACACGGACTGCTCCAGAACCAGGAAGTTCTGCTTCAAACACGGCATGTCGTCCGGTACCGGGTCGCTGCGAGGCTCAGCACGCGGCTCTGATCCGGTCCGGTCCAACAAACAGACGCTTTCATTTGTAAACAAAGGATGACGTCACATGGACCGTACCATCTCCCACAGGGGGGCGGCGACGACGAGACGTGGACCGAACCGCCGGTCACCGTCACAGTACCGAGCCGGTCCCGGTTCCTTCTTCATACAAACACACAGGGTCCTCCTCAGACCCGAACCAGAACCGAGCCGCCTGCTCTGACCCACCTAAGATCGGTTCTGGAACCAGCTCTCCCCCCGCCTCAATGGACCGGTCCGTCCAAACCCGACAGCTCTTACGTAACTGGTACCGGCCGAACCAGAACACTGGGTCCAGAACCACCGGGACACAGGGTCCAGAACCACCCGAACTTGCCCGGTCTCAGACCCAAATGAACCGGGCTGACGTGAGATCCTGGACCAGAACCGGTTCAGGGTTCTGAACATCACAGTCCGAGGCAGAGAGGAGTTTGCGTGCGCGTACCCGCGCAAGGACTCAGTGTTCTCTGGTTTCTGAGAATCCGGACCTGAACCCGCTGCCCCCCTTCAGAACCATAAAAGGAGCGAGAACCGAAAACACGTGGTACCGCATCCAATCACAGGCCGGAACCAGACGGTTCCATTTGGATTGAGCCAGAACCACGACCAGATCCGTTTCAGACCTGGACTTGATGTTCCTCCGCAACCCTGAACAGAACCCGAACAGAACATACATACATACATATATACATATATATATACATATATATATACATATACACACACATATATATACATATACACACACATATATACACACACATACACACA